GTGGACGAGAGCGGCAGGGAGAACCAGGGCACGCGCTCGGAGCCCGGCACCACCCCGCCATGTAAGAGCTCGGCACCCCAAGTGTGACACCCCCACCCACAGCATGGACCCGCTCTGGTGCGGAGCCGAGGGGCCGATGCTCCCTGAGCCATCCCTCTCCCTCTCGTCCCCCCACCTCCCTGTTTATGTGCCAGGTCTCCCCAGTGTTGCGCCGCCCAGCGTCCGGCCCTCGCCCCGACCCGACGTGTCCCCGCCGGCCACGGGGACCTTTCTGCTCTACGCTCAGGGACAGCAAATCGGCTACCTCCCGCTCAACGGCACGCGGCTGCAGAAGGAGGAGGCGAAGACGCTGCTCTCCCTGCATGTACAGTATCTCCAGCGCCGGGGTCGGGGTGCAGGACCACGGGAGGGACTTGGGGACAGGCTGACGGTGCGGCTCTGCATCTCGCATCTCCCTGGACCGCTCTTGTCCGAGCTGTGATGGTCTGAGGGGTCAGCTCTCGAAGGTCGATGGTGGTTTGCGGGGATGCTGGCTGTGCCGGCTGCCTTGGTGCCAAGATGGAGGAGAAGCACTCTCCCCTCTTCCTCCAGCCGTCCCCTGCAGGGGGACGGGTCACAACTGGGGGCTGCCTGCAAAGGGAAGGAGCACGGGTGTCCCCGGCCATCGGTCCCAGGCTCCCGGGGCTGCCAGCTGCACGTCGCTACTGCAACACTTGCCTTTTCCCTTCCTCGGTCTCCTCTTGGAGCGTGGCCATGTGGATCTCCAGCCAGGCCAGACCAAGGGAGAGGAACGCTGAAAGCCGGGCCACGACCCTCCCTGCACCCCGGGGAACTGAAACACCTTGCCAAGTATTCCCTTTCCCCATCCTGAAGGTCATTCCTCGGGCTGGCTTCGCTGTCGGAGCTGTTTCTCCTTGAGCCAAAGGGTTTCAAACCCATCTGGACGTGGGTGTGTGCCTGCAGCAGCTGGCCTAAAAAAACCCCAAAAACCTCTGCTGCAGGATTCAGCCAGGGGTGTGCAGTAGGAACCCGTCGGTGTCGGGTTTTGCCAGGGAAAAGGGATTTGAGCGTCATTCCCCATTGTTGCATCTTGCAGAGTGCTCCCAATGCCGGCTGGTGGGATACAGGTGCTCACTGAGCCTCCTGGCCGTGGTCCAGGCAGGACTTCACCCTGTGTCCCTCTCTCAACCCTGGCAGGGCTCCATCGTGGTGGGGATCGACTATGACTGCCGGGAGAAGACCATCTATTGGACGGATGTGGCCGGCCGGACCATAAGCCGGGCGAGCCTGGAGCCAGGCGCTGAGCCAGAGACCATTATCAACTCAGGTGTGCTCCCATCACCGGTGACATCTGCCCAAAGCCACATCAGCAGGTCCATGCCAGTCTGTGCCCATCACGGCTCTGGGGCTGTCCTGTTTTGGGGTCCTCCATCCACACTCACATCCCTTGGCTGTGGGTCTGGCGGGTCTGGGCACTGTGACAGGTCCAGGAGCTTCATGTCCCCAGCCACTGACCACGTCCGTCCCTCTGGCAGGACTCATCAGCCCCGAGGGGCTGGCGGTGGACCACTTGCGCCGAGCCATGTTCTGGACCGACAGCGGCCTGGATAAGATCGAGAGAGCCCGGCTGGATGGCTCTGAACGGCGGGTGCTCTTCGACACGGAGCTCGTCAACCCCCGGGCCATCACGGTGGACCCCGTCCGAGGGTGAGCAGCGGTGGTTCCGCAGGGATTTGCACGCAGGGCTTTGCAGGGTGCAAGAGTCGGACACAGGCAGTGGTGCCGAGGCCCCATCCTGACCTGGGAGCAGCTCTCCTACGTTGCACACCCCGTAGGAGGGACTGGCTCTGTTTCCCACCTCCTCTTTTATTTAATAATTCAGGATTTGGCTAAACCTGCTGTTTCAGGATGTCTATTATTTTTAAAAGCTTTGAAACACGCCTGGTGTTTGAAAACACAAGCTGTGCCTCTAGGGTGCTGTTGTGATACAAAATGTGCTACTCCTAAGACTCGCCCTCGTTTAGGAGCTACAGTTTGGGTCGTAAACATGTTTGACATCATTCTGGTTTTCTTTTATAGAGATTTTTTCAAACCAAATAAAGATTTCAGGCACCCTTAAGGGGAAAGCCAGGCATCTCAGGAGACAAGAGCCAGTAATGAAGAGAAAGCCGATAATCTGCTACTGCTCCTTACTGTTTTGTGTCTTGTTTCTTCGCTATATGATTATTTCCCAAGCAACCTTTACTGGACGGACTGGAATCGTGAAGCACCCAAAATCGAAACTTCCACTGTCAACGGAGCCAACAGGCGGGTCCTGGTGAACAAGGACATCGGTTTGCCCAACGGCCTGACGTTCGACCCCTTCTCCAAGCTGCTCTGTTGGGCAGACGCAGGTAACTTCACCGAGGACGGATCAGACCACCACACGTTAAGCCTCGAGGGGAAAAAAACAACTATATCTGGTTTTAGCCCGTTGCTACCTGTGGGCTTCTCTGCCCTTTTCCACTGTCCTGTCCCAAAGGACTTGGTGTGACAGGGTCGGGGAGGGGCTCACACCATGAGTTGCATCTACATCCTTAGGCTGAGAAGCTGTTTCAAAATTTAGCGGATACAAAGAGTGCATTTGGTGTGGGGTGGTTTTTTTTTTTGTGGCCCAGTAACTGTCTTGTGTTTGAAAAGGAACGAAGCACCTGGAGTGCACATTCCCCGACGGGACAGGCCGGCGCATCATACAGAACAACCTCAACTACCCCTTCAGCATCATCAGTTACGCCAATCACTTCTACCACACGGACTGGAGGAGGTAAGGAAAGAAATCCCGCTCCTTCCCATAGCCAGGAACGCTGAGCTAGCAGTTCCGAGGGCTCCGCTCCCCTAAGCAGCCGGGAGCCAACCTCCGCCACTCCCTGCCGGAGCGGTCGCTGCTAGGGAAGCAGCTCGGAGGGGCTTCGAGCCAGAGGGGCAAAAAGAAACGCTGTCCCCAGCCTGCACCCTGGTCCCCAGCGCTGGCACCTCACCAGAGGGCTCTTTTGGGTCTCCTGCCGTGCCACGGTCAGCAACGCCCGCTTGTAAATCTCAGCGCAGCAGAGTTGTTTAGAAACAAGCCCAGCTTCCTGGGAGGGACAGAAATAGTGGTGTGTTTTGGTTGGTTTTTTTTTGTTGTTTTTTTTTTTTTTTTAAATAGAACTTGGCACAAATTTCTGACTCTAGATTAAAGTCAAAAGATTCTGTCCTCAGCCGTTCCCTCTCCCCCGCCACCCAAGGCCCTCGACATCAGGAACTCGCCTCTATTCCCACTCCAGCTGGAAGCTCTCAAAACTTCCATCAAATCTTAGCAGATTACAACAAACACTTAAACGCTTGCCACGCTTGGAGGAGACTCTGAGGGAGATAATCTCTCCTTGGAAGGCTGTCTCTGTGACTCTGCATCACCAAAGAGAAATGCACTGAATGAGCTGGACGTAGATTTTACGGGGCAACTTTCTTTCCACTTGTTCTGCAGGTGTTCAGACCAACCTTTTTAGCTATCTCTGTTTTTAAGCGCATGTAGATGGGGCGAGGGGGGAACCAAACCCAAGTTTCAGAGATGATTAAAGCACTTCTCCCCCTTTTATCACCAGGGACGGTGTGATAGCCATCGATAAAGAAACCGGCTCCTTTACCGATGAGTATCTTCCAGAGCAGCGATCGCATCTCTATGGAATAACCGCAGTTTATCCCTACTGCCCTGGAGGTAAAACACAAGAAAACCCACCCCCTTCTTTATTGTCTGACAGCAGTTATATGCTTGACATGCTAAAGGCGTCCCTTTCTCTCTTCATCAGCGAGGAAATAGTAACTGCTATTTCGAGAAACAACGATCTTTGCACCCAAAAGAACTTCAGACCCAGAAAACTGTAACTGCATGCAACTAAAGGGGGGAAAGCCCTTAACCAAAGCCAATGAAGCGACCTACTTTCCTGCAAAAGATTATCGAATATTTTTTGAAGTTATACCTCAAGTCTTTACTACTGTATTTTTTTAAAAGTGAAAAACATTGATATATTACAAAAAAAAAAAAAATAGAATGGTCCTGTGAATCTTAGGCCATTACTCTAACTCTTGCTTATGCAAGCAAATTTAAAATGTAGCTTTCTTATTCAAATGTTTTATTTTATTGGAAGAAGAATGGATTAATTTTTAATAGGTTTGACAATCTGACCAACAGGTCCTTTTATCCAAAAATAAGCGCCTACGGGGAGCTGTGGATGCAGTATCTTGCTGGGTCTAAATAATCTCCAGCCCTGAAGACAGAGACTGTGTGTGCTCCAGAAGTGTGCAGAACAGTTACGTGATCCGGCAAAGGCATTGAAGTTTTTCCAGAAGGCAATTCTGTATTTTCACCACTGCCTCAATGCATGTCTTTTAGTATTTATATTAGAAGAATATGCTAGAATTGATCTGTTCATGCTTGTTGGTTCTTCGAAGTGCCTTCATAGACCTACCCAGCGTAGACCAATACATGTTCAGAAATACCATTTACGTTGTAATGCTTCACTTTTTCTAGGTTACTTCAATAATTGAATAAAATGGTTGTTTTAAGTTTCCCTTTGGATTAAGTTTTTAAATATTTCAGTTGGAGGGCAGACTGCAGAGAAGCAGCAGGCAAGCCAGGAGCGAGCCGTTCCTACGGCAGGACCTCAGCAAAAGAGGAATCTGCAGAGCCTTTGTGTAACGCTCCCTTCTCAACACGAAGCCAAACACAATGAAAAAGAAAAAGTCGTATTTGCCAACTCAGAGCTAATCAGAACAATTTGTCTCTTTCCCCCAGCTTCGTTTATTTAAAGAAAAATGATAATTCATTAGAAGTCAGCATTCAATTTCCTGTTTTCTTTCCAAACAGTAAAATAATACCATTTCAAACTGCATGCCAGAGTTGTACATAATTCCTAATTCTACTAAGTACACAAGAGACTAAAAGCTTTTATCTGTTCATCTCCCGACTTTCCCCAGTCTGTGGTCCGTCTTGGGATCAGCAATAATCGCCTGAACTGCTACAATCGCCTCGTTAATTTTTGTTTGCAGCTCTCGGAGCTCCTCTATATGCAGCAGTCGGAGAATTTGGGCAGCTTCATTGAGGACAGCATCTGGGTGAGTCGCAGAAAGAGAAGTGGTATCAAGCGCTTTCATCTGACATGAAGGTCTTAAGAAAAGCTTAATCTAAGCTAATGCTCTGCACTTCATTCACGCTTGTGGTTTTCATATGTGAAATAAGAAACAACTTTCCCTGCTTGCTAGCGAGGGACAGGGTGCACTGCAAAACTTTGCTCGGCTTCCGGCAGCCCTTGCGGTAATCTGCAGCCACGTCGGGTCAGTATGGAGCGTTCCGAGTGGTAATTTAGGTGTACGTGGGGCGAAAGTGAAGGCAGACCAGCGGAGTCTCAGGTCATCTGGCTATTGCTTACAAAATAATCTCTCAGGTCATGCCAACTCGCCCTGCCTCTGATTAGATTTTAGGTAATTTATGCAGCTAAAAACACACGGAAGGGAAGAAGCGCAGAGGTCCTCTGCTGGTAGAAACAAGATTTACAGGACAACAGTGAGGAGATGCATTCCTTCCGCTTGCAAACGTGGCTGCCATTAAAAGCCGCTATTTAAACAGTACTCTGCAACAACATATTCCACAGCTAAGATTTATGCTTTTCTGTTCCAAAACAAAATGCTCAGGAGTGCTCGTAAATAACAAGCTGGGAGGGAGCAATTCTTTCCACTACAGGCTTCTAGACGAATTGTGCTTTTTTTACTGTACGCACTATCTACATATTTGACAGTAATATACTCGTCAAAGGCAAACATCACTATTTCAAAGTAACATTAAGAGAACTGCTTACCTCCTGTGTCAAAACCAAGAATGTGCTTTTCTAAAGCAACAGGCAAACCCTTTAAAAAGAAAAAGCATGTTCAAATGTAATTAGAAACATCATTTTGCAGGTTTGGAAAATCAAACCAAGTACTACAGCGGGTAACTCTGGAGGAGAGGACACTTAGAGTTTTGCTTATGTGTGTGATGACTTCAAGAAGTCATCATGCTTGATTAAACGAGCGGCTTTGTGGTCTGCAACATCAACCCCAGAGTATTACTACAGAAAAATCTTCATGCTTGATAATCCCCCTACTTGTCAAGCGAACCCCATTGGATACACACTGCCCACATTCAATCCTTAAAAGGCTAACAGCAGCACTGCAAGAGAACTCCCAATCCAGCCACATCGCTACCCAAAGAAAAAGCATGCACAAACTAGGGTTTCTTAGGAACTATTGCCTTTAGACAGCTGCCAGTTTTCAAAGCGCTGGCTGATTTTGAGAGTTCTAAAAATTCTCTCTAATCTAAGTGAGTTCCTCAAGCACTGAACTTGCAACCTCCGTCGATGTCCCCAGAAGCATCTTCTCAAGTGTTAAGCTTACGAATAAAGCTAAACATTCATGTTTCTAAACACTTGCTCTATTAAGACAGTACAAGGAAAAGTTTTATTAGTGGTCATTTATAAGCATTGCTCTCTCTCTCCAGCTGTGGAGGAGCGGTCATGCTAAACAATTACTCACCACGTTTCAACATGCACATAAAATTAGACTTAAACAATGCAAATCTTAGAATTTGCTTTTACTACCTCTATAACTTTTTTCAACATTTGCCTTGCACGACAATTCAATACCGTTAATTTCTCCAATGATGACATTGTAAACCTTCTAAACAGTGAGGATTTCTTTTAAAGGCTTTTATACACATGTAAAACAAATTCTGAGTTGATCAAAACAACACAAACTGAACGTAAACAGCTGACTGCAACTAACTCTAATATCCCACTTTCAAGAAGTGGTTCTTTTCCATGGCCTTTACAGTAAAATGGATGTTCAACTGCAATCTTAAAAATACATCTGCACTGTTAAAATTTAACCAGCATGTTGTTAAGAATGCCACTTCAAACAGAGTCTAGCAATACCAGATTTTGTACATATACTTTTTCAGAAATCAGGTTTATACTTAAGGCTGCCAAGAGCTCACGGCCGCCCTAGTGTGTTCTCACAGCCACACGAGCAGCAAAACATTGATTCAGTTGGTTTTCCCCCGGGCCACTGCAGGCACCTCCAGCGCTGGGTGGCCACACTGGCACCTTCAGAAGTGGTCTTTTGAGATCCCCTGATAGCATAGTGTCACTTCCCCTGCTTTCCTCCCACCACCTGGTATGTTAGCTCCCTTCTGGCTGGTGGAAGCCGTCTTTGACAGCGCAGCAGACGGGCCTTTCCCAAGCCCCGTAGCTGTAGCACTGGTCTCACGGCAGGCACTGGGCTCTACAGGCACCCGCTGCTGCTACAACCACAAGAGGCACGTGCTCGTTCATTTGCGCAGCAGCTTCAAACGGGAAGAGAAGCGAAGAGCACCTTTAAGTCTGTTACCCTGCAGACCACTTCAATTCTCAGCCTCACTCCCCAAAAATTCGATTTAAAACTGCTGCACAAAACACTTGCAATGGACCTGACCACCGCAGCCATCTGCCGTGTGTCAACCGTAAAACTGGATTACCCAGGAGTGAGAGGGGGAAAAAAGGTTTCCAGATTCAGAGTAGGGGGAAAGCGTACCCACTTTGTTATGCTTTTTAACAAGCCCCAGGTATAGCCTTCGGAAGCATCCTTAAAATGATCCTGAAGGGCGTTTGTTGTACATGATCCTACCTAGGACACACTCATCAGGCAAGGAAAGCCCAGGAGGACAGGCTACGAGTCTGTCAGTATAAATGTGAATCCTGTCTAGACACTGAGTACACTGAACTGCCAGCCACTCAAAACATAAGCTTAAAAAAAAAAAAGTGTCATGTCTTATCTTGAAAACTGTACTTCGACAACCCAACAAGATAAATCTCGTCGTATTTGGTACATTTAAACCACAAGCACAGCAGCTTAAGTTTCCTCAGCATAGTCCTCATATACATCCTTCAGTCAGAGAACATTTCTGCGTCTATTTAATGTTTTCCCCACTCTATCTGGATATTGCCAAGAATGCAACTCGTGACATTCTGTCGTCTGCCATGCAGCAGTCAGACATTTATAACCTGTTCAAAGGAACAAGACTTAATACACAGACTGTCACTGCATAGTGTTTTGGCCATTAACAAGCCAGCCAAAAACCAGAAGCAGAGGTTTATGTTTCCTCTCCTTCTGTCCTGCGACCCACCTATCCCCTCTGCTTTTAAGATATTTTCTTCAATCATCTGATACGTTACGATGTTGATGATCGCTGCTGGCACAGATAAAGCTGTTTTTCTGCCTCCACCCCTCTGCCTTTTCTCCACCCCACTTGAAATTTAGCATTCCTAATGAGAATACACTCCCAGTGACATATATCACATTCAGTGACGCAGTGGCATTTCAACCTAAGACCTGACGATTCTTTGAGGACCTACTGAATCGGAACAATTCTTTGTCAGGAAAAAAATCGCATTCCTTAAAGCAGCTAGTTCTGCCAAACTCACACAAAATCCCATTTTGATCCCTGCATGTCAGCCGTGCAGCTATGTAAACAACTAAAAGCAGCTTTTTATTAACATTAGTTATAGAATCTAAAACAGCTACAGCAGTCTCAGCTGCTTTCATATTTTCCTGCTCTTTTAACAGTTTTACAGAAGTAAAAGACCAAAGCTTTGATTTACTGTTCCAACGCTTCCAGCAATTACTGGGCTGCAACTCAGAGCACCTGCGAGTGCCACTTAGTAAACACCATAAGCAGTGTTATGATAATAAATAAAGCATGGACTGTCCTGAACAGCTGTCAGGAAAGATGAAAGGACTCGTGCTCTCTGTCCAGATCCACTCACTTTAACAGGGACACTTCTAAACATACACCTGCGGAGCAAGGGAGGCAGCCTTCCCTGGCTGCGCCCAAGACCCAGTGCCAGCAGCTGCTGCGCCAAATGCCAGAGAGAAGAGCTGGAGAACTGGGATGTTTAAGAAATGACAATCTGAAAAACCACAGTCATCCCCTGGAACATCTTAGAAACGGACAGCCTGTGGTTAGAAAATAATTCTGCCAAACCGGAGGTTTAAGTGCAGAAGTTTCCTTCACCATTTCTTTTTGGGGAGGGAGGAGCTGGATAACCAACATCCCATTCCTTAAACACATCCGAGGTGTACATATGAAGGAAAGCACTCCACACAAGGCACGTTTCAACCTGTTTACACAGCCAACACTGCTGGTACCAAGGAAAAGCCAGGTCACACACTTCTTCTCATACTGTAGGCCTACCGCACTGAACAGCGAGGATAATCCTCTAGCAAGTATGAAGATAGGAGAACAGCTATTTACATGATATATCTTACAGGTACGTATATTTATACTCATCCGAAACAAGAAGAGCTTTGTATACTCTCCATAATCCTCCGAGTTTAGAATCAGGATGGCAAAGATAAAGCAAGTTTCTACCACCCTCCTCAAGGAAGCGTTTAAACAGAATTCATTTTGACCGAGATGGCAGACATTTATGCCTACATTTCTTTACTCGATATCAAATAATTAACACTACACTCATGCA